TTAATAAAAATAAATCCTCGTTAAATCTAATAAAGGACTTTTGCAGCAGATTGTAATGTATATTTTTATTGGTTTTTTAGTGATGTAGTTTATTTAAAGTTTTTCAAAATTTCTTTTTGTAATTTTTTTTTAATATTTTTAAGACACATTTCTTTCAATATAATGAATTATCAATTCGATCAATATATGGACGGCTCAGAAGCCAATCAGGTTAAGTCACTAAATATACAATCTGAGAAAATTAACTTGTTTCAAAACTTGTTGTAATAAAATAACGACTCTCATATAAGTACTAATAATAATTTTTATTGAAATGTAACATACAAATAAACTGAAATATAAGAAAATTTAATAAAAATGAAAAGCGTTTTTCTTTTTTAATGCGTTTAAACAAGGAAAAAATAAATGCTAAGTGTCGACTGAACTAAAAAATAAAACAACGATAAAACAAAAATTATTAGTCTATGTATTATCCGAATCTTCACTGTCGTTATTAGACTCAAGTTGGCCGATCATTGAAGTTGAAGGTCGAGGATTAGCCTTTTGTGTTACTGGCAATTTCTTATAAAATTCGTGGTAGTGCGGTGAAATGTAAGGAAGCAAATCAAACATGTGTTTTTTTAAGTCTTTGACAGGTCTGCGATTTGGGTAGAGTTGCTCCTGAACAATATTAAAGAACTTAGTTGGTCTTCCCTTTCCGGAATTTTTTGCAATGTTTATCTCGTTAAATGGAAAATCTTCTTGCAGTGTTTCTTTGCAGAAAATAGATTCCGGTTTATTTTTGTAATATTTAAGCCATTTTATGTTCAACCAATTAATTTTTCCTCCTGCAGTATCGATTTTTCTATTAATGATGCTATTTTCCAACATTCTTGTCGAAAGAAATTCTTCACGTTTCATTTCAGTTATTTGAAATGAATTAGTCTTTTTAGCAGTGGCTTCTTCTTCTTCTTCTACTTTTTGTAGATCTTTCGATCTGTTTAATTCTGAAGCTGCCTTGGTTAATTTCTTGGGAGGTAGATTGCCAACTATCCCTCCATCTCTTAGGTGGTCTTCCGGGGGTCTTGAACCAGGCGGATTGTTTTCTAGGGCAATTTTTGGGAGTCTATTCTCATCCATTCGTCTTACATGGTTGTACCACATCCTCTTGCGCTGTCTTCCCATCTTACAATATCTTGAATTTTGCATTGCTCTCTAATGTTTGTATTTCTCACTCTGTCCCTTCTTGTTTTTCCCCATTATTGTTCTTAGGGTTTTCATTTCGGCAACCCTTAGCATCTTTAGCAGTGGCAACTAAATTAATTCAATCTTCAGGACCATAAATAAACTCTTTTTTCTTTGCCTTTGTCTCAATAACCCTAAAATCTGCATCATTCGGAAGGTAGCTATGACCTGAAGTGAGAAATTTATAGTCGATTGAAGTAGCTTTCATTTCAGGATCTTGTACAAGTTTGAGCAGTGATAGACTTAGTTTAATATTGCGGTTCTGGCCTGTACAGCAGTCCGAATACAAAATGATATTATCACAATTTCTTGCATTCATTTTTAAATGTTTTGTCAGGCAGAAGGCAACTTCTTGTGAACCTCAAGATCCCTCTGTTTCGTCCCACATAAACATGTACCCATTATTGTCGTTAAAACTATAAATTCCCAAATTGTAAACATATAGGTTCATCTTGTAATAAGCATTACAAAATAATCAAATAATTATGAAAACAAATTATCACCGATTAGGGAAAATATAAATAATTGAGCAGATAGCATGAGAACAGTAAGTAATGGAAATTACTTATGGTAATTGGTAATTAGTTTTTATATTGTTAATTTTATATATTGTAGGAATTTGAGTTGTTTTTCTCTAATAAAAACAGTTTACTACAAATCCGTCACTTGCTGCCTGTACAATAAAGACAATTTCCCAACAAGTATAATAAATAGTAAGATTTAAAAGAATTTATTTTCCATTTTCAAATTACCAATACTGCGGCGGACTTACCCTGCGGTAACAAGCCACGGCCTCCCATCTTTTATCATACTTAAATTCAATAAAAAATTAAAAGCTTAATTACTTAAAATAATTTTGTTTGGTAAAAAATACATGTTTTTCGTTTAGCAGTCATTTACTCTTGACGGTAATTTTCAGTCGCAGATATAAAAAAAAGGTAATAACAAAAACAAAAATTAAAAAAATCTTCTGATCTCTTTAATTACTAATTAACGTAAAAATAATTAGAAACATGAATTAAATGAAAGACACAAAACTCATATTCTAAGAGTGTTCTGTGATGAATTTAAAAGGAGTGTTAATTAAAGGTTATAAATAAATTTATTCACAATAATTAGAATAGCTTTAACCTTAGACGAGGAAAGTGAGAAGCCTTAAACTTTAATATATACATTTCAAGAATACTGACATGATAACTGTAAATTTTATAGAATATATTCGTAGATAATGAAAGAGAGGTAACATCCATTAAATAAACCTTCAAAAAGTGAAGCCAGTTTCGATGAGACCGCCATGTTTTGTGACTTTAGGTTGCCCATTACCAAGGTGAGTAAAAGGGAGGTTGCATGGTAACTCATGACATTGACAGAATGAAATACGACGTGTGACGTCACCCAGGAGGTTCAATTTTACGAATTGTTTGAAAACAAAATAGGAGAAGTGGTTTTGGAGAATATATTTTGTTGTTAAATATCGTTAGTGCTTTAGTTTATGTTAATATCTTGAGATGTAATATGTCTATAGATATTATTGAGTGATTTTTAGTATACAACTTGGACCCAATACTCTTATACAAGTGTTAAGATACATTTAACGTGGTTGTGTCTTACTGCATTTTATTTCTGCTGTATTATATAGTAAAGGTAACATTGGGATTAATGCAGGAAAACATACCTCCATTCAATTTTTTTATTGATTTAGATGGCTGGTGGAAATATTTGTAGTGTAGCAATTTGCAAATATAATTCAAAAAATTCCAAAAAGGATGGAAGGAATTTAATGTTTTTTACATTTCCAAAAAAATGTAAAAATTAAAAAGCAATGGATTAGCAAGTGTCAGAGGAAGGATAAGTGGTCCTGTTTTAATAAAAGAGTTTGTAGTATACACTTTCACATGGAAGATTATGAGGGTGCTTTAAAAGCTACACTATTAAACATAACTATGTACAACCTAAAAAGCTGAAAAAAGATGGTAAGTAGGTATAGTCATTTAAATGTTCAGTAAAAATGTGTTAATTCACTGATTTTGATTTTTATCATTTACTGTTAATTTTGTACAACTTAAAAGGTATCTATTTAATGGAATCATGTTTTTAATATTTTTTATATTCTATTATATAATACAGTAATATAATCAGATGTTCCTTAAATATATTGAAGTTAAGGCAAAAACTACTAATTCTGATATATAAATCTTGAGTTGAATCTCAAAGTTAAATCTCTTTTTCAGCATGGTATACTTGTTTGGACAAATTTATAATAATCAACTACATGCATTATCCTCAATTCAAAATATTTTTAAAAAAGTAAATTGTATTCAACCCATTATTAATATAGTATATTAACATGTTTTAGTCACATGTATACACAAGAAAGAATCTACTTCCAATTTAATACAGTAATTCTATTGTACTACATATGTTTAATTACTATTTAACTGGGAATAAGCCACAATTAAAGATAAATATACGTTTATTGACGTTTCAATTTTCACTTCGGAAATCGTTCTCAAAATACAAACAGTAAATTAAACAAATTTTGTTTTTTGTTGTTTATTTTAAATTTTAAATCAACAAAAAACAAAATTTGTTTAATTTACTGTTTATATTTGAGAACGATTTCCGAAGTGGAAATTGAAACGTCAATAAACGTATTTTTATCTTTAATTGTGGCTTATTCCCAGTTAAATAGTAATTTATTTAAAATGCCACAAAAAATAGCTTCAGAAGAATACATATGTTTAGCAGCAATAATATTTTATGATTTCTGTAACTCTGCAGGTACTTATCTCCCACATTTTTTAAACATTGAATGAAATAAATAGTTATTAAAAGTCCAAATGTATTTTTTTCGATATAACATAGATTAATAGATTTACAATCATTGTTGTTTTCGAGTTCATTTCAAGGAGTAAAGTGAATGAATTTGAATGTAGCATTCTCAGCGACGTCATTCCCGCCGTTAGATTCTCACGCTGATTGGTGTAAAGTTACCAGACAACCTGTCTATTTTTAATAACCTTGGCCCATTACTACCTCTAGCAGTGTTACCAGGTCTACTAATTTTTCAGTATATCTACTGATTTCAATACTATATCGATTTACTAAAAATATATAATGATAAAATCATGTTCAGAAAGTGATCATTATGTCAGTGTTCAACTATAACTTAAAAAAAATCTATTTATTGATAAATATCCATTATTCTCAATCTACTGAAGGAATATAATATGACCTGGTAACTTCTTTGGTGCCGGTTGGTGTCAATTTAGGCTTCAGCCAATTCCATATGATTACGCGTCTCCTCTTTTTCTTTGTCTAAGATTGTATTATACTTGTATTCGCCCCGTTAAGGATCAGTGGTGAGTTATCCACGAACTTCATTAAAGCCAAGAGAATGCAACATCAAATTTTCCGACGTGTGAAAATTCATTTACTAAGTATGAGATAAGTTAATGAATAAAATGAAATATAATAAATATAAAAGATAATTATAAAATAAAGAAAATCGATGAAATATGATGTTTGATATTTTACTGATTTTTAAATGTTGCGTTCTTTTAACTTTACCGTAGTTCATAGACAACTCACCACGCACCGCCACCCATCCTTAACAGGACGAATGATGGTCCTTAGTAATAAAAAATACATCGCACTCTACCAGACAGTTTTATGTTTCATGTCACACATATAATTAAATAATTTTTATACGTCATTAGAAAATTTTGATTGACAAACGTCAAAATAATTAACAAAATTATAACAGAAACTCTAACATGCCAGCCTTTCCAACCGCAGGCCTAAAGAAACCCAAATTACATGGTTTGCACAAGGCTAGAGCGTTAAGAAATGTCGTTATAGCGCTTGTTAATGCCGGAATTGCTGGCTTCCTATATAAAACCTTAATAAACGATAAGCATAAGCAAACGTACAAACAATGGCATGAAAATCACAACATTGAAGACGAATTTGAAAAAATAAGGCAGACAGGCGTATTTGACTCTTGTTGAATTATTTAATTTTTGTATGGGACTGTATAAACATAAACATGTATTTATAAACAATTAGTTAAATAAACTTTACACAAAAGTGTTATTAATATGTATAGAGTTTGACAATATTTATTTAATCGATGACATTTTTCTAGATTTTGATTTTAGTATATAAAAAATGGTTGAATCAATTTAAATAATTATAGGTATTAAGGCAATCATAAAGAAATTCAACAGACATAGAGAAGGTGTCTAAAAAATAGAAAAAAAGGGCTCAGATATATATTAATTAATTAATTACCTAAATACGTATTTGCAAAAATTACAAGAGTGATTTGAAACAAACAATTTTAAAATCTCAGCACATAAATCAAAAGCAATAATATTAAAAAAAAAGCTCAAGCTTACAACTTCTTCCATCTTTTGGTGGAAATCCCATGGAAAAATAAAATAAAGTATCTGGAGTTATATCCACAGTGTAACTTTCTTTCTCCCCTTCCTTTCACCCTATCAGGGTGTCGGATTTGGGCTAGCTATTTTAATTTCTATTTTTATTACCATATATTTATTAGTTTTCTGCAATTTCTCGGAATCTGCTATTAGTACTATGTCATCTGCATACATTAAGGACTCTATTGTTACCGGTTGTAATCTGTGGTAATTCGTTCATTACTATTATGAATAGCAAAGGGCTGAGACTATCTCCTTGTTTAATACCTCTCTTCCAATTATATGCTTCAGATATTTCCCCTGTTATATGTACCCTTCCTTTTACCTCTCTGTAAGTACTTTCTATTATTTTTGTCAATGCATTAGGTACATTTATTTTTCTCAAGTATTTCCCTATAATATATCTTTCTATCGTGTCAAATGCTGCTCTTAGGTCTATGAATGCTAATCCTAGTTTTCCCCCCATATATATGCTTCTTTCTATTAGGTTTCTAATGATATATATTTTGTCATTTGTCTGTCTTCCCGGTCTAAATGCCGTTTATTCTTCTTCCAATACCATTTCTACTTATTGTCCCAGTCTCTTCTCTATTATTTTCGTATATATTTTAAAGCATACCGATGACAGATATATTGCTCTATAGTTGTCGCAGTTTACTTGTTCTCCTTTTTTGTATATTGCCAAGATGATATTATTCTGCCAGTCTTTAGGGATTGTTTGTTTTTCCCACGCCTCTTTATATATTTTCCTTAGCCAGTTTATTCCTTCTTCTCTCATGTATTTTACCATTTCCGGTTCAATTTCATCATCACCTGCCTTGCCTATTTTTATATTTGATAACCCTTCTATTCTTCTTCTCTACTTATTTGCTCTAGCTCTGTGTTTTCTTCGCCTTCATTGTTTATATTGTCTTTATTTATCCCTTCGGTATCAAATTTTTTTTTATAATATTCTTTCCATACCCTAGCTACTTGTTCTGGGCTTATTTATATTTGGTTTGAAGTATCTCTTATGGCGTTTATTTCCTTTCGTCCTCCTTGCCTTATGTGTCGTATTGTCGTCCAAAAGTTTGTATTATTTGGTATATATTCTTCCTGAAGTTCTTCTCCAAATTCTTTCCATGTTTTGGCTTTTGCTTGTGTGACTGTCTTTTTTACCAATCGTCTCTGCCTATAGTATTTTTCTTTATGTTCTTCTAATCCCGTTTCGATGTATTTTTTCCATGCTATTTTCTTCTTTTTTATTTCTGTCTTTATTTCTATATTCCACCATCTTGTCCTTTTCAATTGTATATTATATTTTTTAATTCCACACACTTCAGTTGCTTTTGTCTTTAATACTTCACTGTAAGTATTCCATCTTTCTTCCATTGTCCATGTTTCTTATTTGGCACTCTTTTGTTTCAGTCTTTTGTTAGTTTCCTCCGTGTACAATTCTCGCACACTTTCTATCTTTAGTTTGTTTACATTTACTTTCTTGTACTCTTTTCTTTCCACTTCCTCCATTTTTTCATGCTTCAGTTTTGTAGTAATCATCCCGTGTTGTGTAGACAGTTCCGGTTCCTTTTCCGTTAAGATGTTTTTTATATTTTGTTCTAGGTTTCTCGTATACACTATATAGTCGATTAAACTTTTCGCATTTCTCTCTTCAGCCACAAATGTATATTTGTCGTAAATACACTACAGTGTAACTTATATATGGTAATTCACATAAATAATATAATAGCTAAAGCAAACAAAGGAATTAATGTTTTGAGAGATATTTGTGGTACAAAATGGGGAGCTGATCCAAATATTCTTTTAAGCTTATACAAAGGGATAGTAAGATCTTATTTAGACTATACAGCCAATATTTTTAACCCTTGCAGTAAAAGTCTAATGAAGAAGTTAGAAGAAGTACAAGATGTGGCCATAAGGCTGTTCAGTATTCACACCAAAAGTTAGAAGGGAAATATTGGCTCATAAATACATAATTAAAACAAATGTCTGTAAGAAAAACATAGTAATAGGAAGTTTTAATAGGTAAAATAAAGCTATAAATGCAAATAAGCAATTTCGGAAGAATAAAGCAGTACCAGACTACTCATTAGCATATACAGACGTACTCAAAAGATCAAAAAATATAATCTGATATAAAATTAATCCCATATATGAAGTAGAAAGAAAAATTCTTTTTTATCCTATTAAAATTAAAAGCCTTGAAAATAAAAAATACAAAATTAAATCTCATGAAATATTTTTAGCAAAATATGGTGAAACATATAGTAATCATACTTATGTATATACAGATGGATCTATCGACCTACAAATAAACCAATCCGGATTTGAAATTTATATACCACGCATTAATTAGAAATTTTCATCAAAACTCCATAATAACATACAAATCTGTACAACTGAAATGATAGCTATATGTAAAGCTATCTCTGTGTGTATTGAGGAGATCATGTGAGCAGTTATATTTGTGGATTCAAAAAGTGCTTTATCGAAAATTTCTGGTCTCAAATGGGATCAAATAGATTATATAACCATAATAACCAAAAACCTATTGGTAGAAGCTAATAATATGGGATTCTCAATAGGAGGAATAGAATAGGTACCTGGACATCAGGAGATTAAAGGTAATGAAGTAGCAGTTTATATTGACGAATATTGGGAGAGAACTTTTTCTGTGTTACAAAAAAGACATTTTAACACAATTTTTTAATAAATGGCATTCCCAAATTAAAGATAGGTAAAGATCCAGATTATTGTAGATTGCAGTGTGATTTTAGAATGGCCTTTATTGTAAAATGACAAGCTAATAAAACTCCGAGTTACTTACACGATATACTGCCAGTTATAGCTTGGTGGTTCCAGAAGACACAAGATTATTCTAAGAAAATTAAGAATTGGACACACTCGGCTTACATATGGCTTTACTAACACAGCCAACACATGTTGGGAGATATACAAAAAATATTGAATGAAACTGAGAAATATGCAAGTCTGTTTAAATATTTAAAAGACATTCAAGTGTTTTATAAAATCTGAATTATTATATAATAACGGTTGATCTATCTGAATTGATAAAAAATAAATATTGTATATTATGTAAATATAAAAGTGAACCCTCCCCCGAAATATTGAAGTCAGAAGTTGTAAGGGAAATCAAACAGAGCAAATGGGGAAAAGTACCAGGCTCGGACGACGTATACATAGAGGTTCTAACAATGTTAAGTGAAGACTCCTTGGCAGATCTTTTTAATGCCATTTATGGGTTCGGCCAAATACCACAGATTGGCTTCAATCAACCTTTATACCAATCCCGAAAAAGCCAAACGCTTATATTTGCGACCAATTCGGCTTATTGCGACAGGTTCTAAAACTCTTCTTAAAGATAACTCACACAAGAATATACAACAGATGTGAAAGAGACATTAGCCCCACACAGTTCGGTTTCAGAGAAGGATTTGGCACAAGAGAAGTACTTTATAGCTTTACTGTCCTACTTAAGAAATGCAGATATCAGCAAAAAGGTATCTTCCTATCCTTTATAGATTACCAGAAAGCATTCGATTGTGTTAATCATTCAGAATTAGTAAGATTGCTTCAGGAACGTTCATATATGAGAATGACCTTAAAATCATAAAGAACCTTTATGTGAATCAAGTGAAATCTGTGAGAGAAGAACTGAAATCTACATTATTTTTCTCAACTGAGAAAGGTGTATGACAGGGTTGTGTTCTGTCACACTTCCTTTTTAATCTTTACTTTGAAACGATTTTTGATAGAGCCTTAAGTGACTTTGAAGATGAAAACAACGGACAGACTATTAGTTATCTTCGCTTTGCTGAGGATACAGTCATAATAGCTGATATCCAAGAAGCGCTACAATGACCAATATGTAGATAAAATAAACACTGAACGAGAATGACTGGGCTTGAAGATTAATAAAGACAAGACAAATATATTAGTGGTTAGTAGAACATGAAATATGCAATTAAATATAAGAGTAAACAATAAGGATATCCAAAAGATCCCCAAGTTCAAATATCTCGGTAGTTAAATAACTGAAGATCTAGATTTAGACATAGAGATACGTAGCAGGATTGAGCAAGCCAGAACAGCATTTACCAATATGAGAACCTAGCTAAGCAACAGCAGCCTTAACTTAACGCTTCGATATCGCTTTGTAAAATGTTACATTTACTCCATACTGCTATATGCTGTAGAAACCTGGACCATAAAGGCCAATGTGATGAATCTATTGGAGGCCTTTGAAATGTGGTATTTAGAAAACTACTTAAAATTCCCTGGACAAATGACATAACAAATTTCGAACTAATAAATCGAATGGGGAGAGAACGAGAATTGCTGCCAATAATAAAAAGAAGAAAACTGGTTAGCTGGGTCATGTATTTCGAAATTCTAAACACCAGTTCTTAAAGCTTATTATAGCAGGGAAGATAAAAGGAAAAAGGGGCATCGAAAGAAAGAAATACTCATGGCTTAAAAACATAAGGGATTATACACACCTTGATGCTTATGAACTTTTTAGAGCCACACAAGGTCGAGAGAAGTATACC